GCGATGATATAAAGTGTAAATCAATTGATCTTTTTCTATATCATATATATATATATATATATATATATATATTTCGTCATGGTATGTAAATATATCTGTGGAGCTTTTAGTGGACAGGAGTCATTGACACGTCAGATTGATAAATAAACATGGATAAATGAGTAATAAGCAGCTTTCTGTGTGTGTGTACCCCAGGACAAAGATAACTATAATGCTAATAATAAAGATATAAAGTTAAAAAATTGTTCTAAGGGCATACTCACACTAGGCACAAGTTGCCTCGTACTAAAGCCCAAGCGTGATTGTCCTTTCTCTAACAGAGATCTCAGAGGATTATTACAGAGGCAGCTGAGGTTAATGGTGGAATTTGCAGCTTTACTTGCAAACTTCAATACTGTTCATCAATAAGATGACAACCAGAAACATTATAAATCTAAATGTACTCGAATTAAAGGGGTGGTTGACTGTTTTTTTCTAGGCTTGATTGTGTTTATGGGGTGCAGTCTAACGTGTTAATGCTTCGCTTTTTAAAAAACGCATTATTTTTCACATAATTTACCTTTATTCTACACCACTCTGTCCCTTCTCCGATAATCACTCGATTTCTTGATATTTTGAAGCCCCTCCCTCACAAAGCCGCAATGGGCTCAGATTGGTTAGCTGGCTCAGTGTGTTGTGATTGGCTAAACCGCCTCTAGTGCGCGTCTAAATGTCACGCCCCTCAGCTCAGTGGCATGTGCTCCGGAGTTGTGTTGTAAACAATGGCGTTGTCAATATTGCTTATCAATTTTCAAAACTGAAATTTCCTGGCTTTTTTCATGATAACGCTCGTTTTATCGTGTTTAGCCACAGCTGTCGTCGGTTTTTTGTCTGGCAGTGGCAGCAGATATGCGATCAAATTTCTAATTTGAGGCTGTATTACGTCGATTCTGGCACCCAACATCACAACAAGATGATATTTTAAGCTCCTCATGTAGCCGAATCATTTTGCATCTTACACATACACACACACACACATACATTGTTTTTTATAGTTTACGGGAACTCTCCATAGGTGAAATGGTTTTTATACTGCACAAACTGTATTTTCTATTGCCCTACACCAACCCTTCACGTAAAACTACCCATTGCTGGAAACTGAATTTTTTTAGATTAAAAAAACAAACACCCTTTTTGGTTTTAACCTTTTTGAATTACATTGTAATACCTATGTCATACCCGTGTAATTATACAAATTTATGTCCTCATAAAAATGCACACACAAATATATATAAAGGTATGATCAGTAATCGTGGCAACATGTTTTGTTATACAAGATGTGATTCGTTTTTAGTCGGTTAAATGTAGTTAAAATGAATTTAAATGATTTTTGCAGCCAGTTTGACTAATTTAAAGCAGTAAATGAACTTATGTTTTTAAGTTGAAGGTGGAAGTTTTGTTCATCAGACTATTAGTGATTAGAATCCATATTATAATTGACAAATTTTACATATTTGAAATCAGAAAATATGAGGCAAATCTGGCTGTACGTGAGTTTATTTGAGCTGATGTTGTGTTATCATGTTTGTGTTCAAAAGAAATTATCAGTGCAAAACATACAGAATCATAACCACACCCAGATATACAAAGACACATATATCATAACACAGAAATAAAACAGATTTTTCGCCACTTTTAAAACCGAATAAGCAGATTCACTCAGAACTTATAAAAGTACAAATAAAACATAAAAGTTAATCAGAAAAATAATGAAGTGGCCTATGAAAACTGTTATTGTAAGTAAACACATTAGTGTGTTCCTCACTCTTAATATCTGCTGCAGATGAAGTTGAGTTTGTGAGATTCAGGAAGGCTGATCCAGCGCTGATCTCCTCCAGACTGAACTGCTCCTTTTCTCTTCTCGAGGCTGCAGTTTTCCGGTGTCGTCCCGTTCCCTGGAGCCCAGTTCTGATAGCACACCATCTCTCCACTCAGCCAGAGCCACATGTTCATGATGCAGTAGTTGTGTAAACCCAACCACACCGCCGCAGTAGACGCCCGTTTAACCACGTTCATCACCTCATGCTGCATCTCTTCTGAATGAACCAAGACCAGATCCACATGATTCTGTCTGCAGTATCTCAGAGCTTCAGACCACGTCAGATTCTCCTTGATCAGAATCAGTTCAGCGTCTGGAAACCAAACAAACCACAAGCGGAGACTAGAGAGAGACTGATCAAAAACAACATGCAGAACAAACACTGTGGATCAATTTGTCATGTCAGACATGTTGCATCAACTTTATTATTATTGTGAAATTAATATATTTCATTTTAGTAATATTTTGCATTTTGAGTATATTTGTATGTTACTAATTAATATTCATGTCTAAATGATGGGCTATTTCCTGTATACATTTCTGTATAAATAAAATAAATTCTGCATTATTTAAGTTAAATATAGAGCAAAAGTATTTAAAATCCATTGAATTGAGGCAGATTTGTTTCACCTTGTGGAAAAATAATAAAAATAATCTACTGTTTAATACCATGGTGTAGCTATTAGATGCCTGTATAGCCATATATATTCAGTGCTGTGTATTCCTTAGTAACTGAGCTGTGTTTTCAGGCATAACTGCTTAAGTTTTGTCACCCCTTGCACTTTTTTTCTACATTGTGGCTGATTTGTAGATTGTACACACAAAAACATCTCTATTTTCATAACTTTGCCTATTTCCCATTAATTTCCTATGGCGGTCATTTTTTTTAACCGCGAACAACACAAATGCGACAATTTTTTTTTACGACCATTTGACTTTTTCGAATCAAGTCCACAATTTTTTGGGGAGTCACATAGCGACAGCCATAAAGGTCACCAAGTTTCGTACCATTCCGATGAAGAAGCAATTTTAACATTTTTCAAATTATAATTTTTCTGTCTAAAATGACTGAACAACACCAGAGGGTTAAGAGATCTGATCTGAGGTCCGTTCTTCGTACCTCGCTTAATACATCTGAGATGATTTGAAAGATGCCGGATCTTCTAGTCATGATAACTGATCTCTGGCTAATTTGGTTTGTGGATTTGATTAATATATCTGGATTAATTGTTTAAGATTACTGTTCATTCTCGTGTTCCCTGAAAAGGGCAGATGTATCGATACTCGAAACCACGATCAGCAGTGCAGCGATTGGCTGGCGGCAAGACAGCAACGTAATGACATCATATAATTAAAAAAGCCACCAGACAAAAACCTGACACATTTCTGGACTTTTATAATTAAACAGCTAAGCGAACAAAACTACATAAATGTTATAACAGATAAATGAAATGTGCACTATTTTTAATTTATTTTTCTTTTTTTCTTACATGATTCCCAACTCCAGTACAATTATAAAGTAATTATTTCATCACTAATAAATCTTTCAATGAGTAAAACTGGCTGTCTCTATAGTGTTGTAGACTACACATTATTATATTATTTTACATTAATTTTTAGATAATTATTATTTTAAATTACTGTCCCTGCATCAGTAGGGTACTCTTGTAATAGAGTAGCAGTGGCTAGGATAGATTTTAAGTATCAATTCTGCTTAAAAAGATGCGATCTAATCTTGTTTACATTAAATAAGCTGCTCCCGAGCAGGTTTAAGCTTACGGACCTGTTGCTATGACAGCAACTCCGGGATGAGCTTCGAAGAACCAAACTATCCAAGATCAGGCCAAATCATCAACAATCAAATCCAGCTAACTGAGTTAGCGACATACGGAGAACGGGCTCCTGAAGGTGATGATGGATTGTGTGTGTTTTGTCAGAATCTACTCACCTTCATGACACACAAAAGGATATTGGCTGGTGCAAGGGACATCATGCCATTGTCCCTGAGCGTTCATTTCAATCAGTGCACAATTTTCACTACCTCCCCAATTATCCAGTTGACCAGTTTTCCAGTATCTGAATGAGGAGTCACTCTGATCTGACCACTGCCACGAGTCTCTGACTCTGAACAGACCGATCCAGATATATGATCCAGATGAGTGATTATCACTGATTATCTTCTGAACCTGTTGACTCTCATTCTGGTTCCTCACACTGACCAGATCAATGTGATTCTGTCTGCAGTAACTCTGAGCGTCTCTCCAATTCATCAGCTGATTGACAAAGACGAGTCCTGTGTTCGCTTTAAGAAAAACAAATGAGAAAAAGATTCATGAATCGGTTCATTATTCTTACGCTGCTTTATGGTTTGGATGTGAACAGGAGCAGTGGTGCAAACATCAGAAACACGTCATTCAAAGACCTGCACTGCTTCTACAACTGGTCAAATATATTGAATATTCACAATGTTCAAGATATTTTAAATTATATAATCTGTCTACAAAAGTTATTCTGATTGGCTGGAGCGTGTGCATTCAAACCATTAAATGAAACGCACACAAATACAGACCGTCAGTGGCACACAGAGAAACATTTAGAAGCACAGAAACTTGATGTCAACCCTGTGCTGTGACTTAAAATAGCTTCACTATCGAATCACTGCATTAATTTTCTCTGCAACGAGGGTTTATGTTGTAATGGACTATCATTCCTTCATGGACCAGACTCAAGTTAATCTACATGAGAAACAAAGCCCTTGTAGGTTTGTGTTGAGATACTGAAGGCTGAAAATATCAAGTTGAATCATGTCTAGTTGTTTTTTTATTAACAATATAAGATCAATTTAGATCTCTAACATTTTTAGGCTCTTTAATGGCAAGTTTCCATTGTGACAAATGATCATATAGAGCAGGGGTTCTCAAAGTCTACATTCAAAGGTCCAAATCTGAATTTTCATCAGTGTCAAAGGTCCGGACCGGAACAATTGGTTATTACAAAACTTGTTTTTAATAAACATACATAACACGCATAACAAATAAACATTAATTTGTTGGAAAAATAAAGTGCAAAAGTGGCAAAACAATTAATTTAAGTGTCAGCAATAGAGGTCGACCGATAAGGGTTTTTCTCTGGCCGATGCCGATATTTAGAAATCAGGGCAGCCGATGGCCGATATATGATACTGATTTTTTGGGCCGATATGTTTGGCCAATTTATTTATTTATTTTTTCCTTTATCTCATAAAAGCGAGTTTGAGTAAATGATTATTGCATGGCACAAGATGGTAATAGTAGTAGTAGTAGTAGTAGTAGCCTAATTCATAGTGATAATACATGGCTCAAAGCACCTTCTCAAAACAGTTCTGAAGCATGCTTTTTGTTTTTGTTTGCTGACAGACACCAGTGTTTCCCACAGACTGCAAATGCAAATTCATTCTCTGCCAGCAGGAGGCGCTGTTGGAGCAGAGCTATAGCGGTTTCCCCGGTAACGGCTGTAATCTAATACAAAACGCTAGGAAAGACGAAATGAAAATGACATCAAAGCTTTTCTGAAGACGGTCGGTTCTATTCAATTATACATTCATATAAAAACACCCGCGCTGCATTTTAATTTTTAAACGTGCAGTGCTCAGTTTATTCAACGAAGTATAAGCCTTTTGGAAAATCTATTTGTGGCGGTCAGTTTTGATTTTGTGACGGGCCGCCACAAATAACTCAATGTTTGGGAAACACTGGACACTGCTATAAGTCAAATGGCCATAATCTAAGTGATAACAAAAAATAAATAAAGTACTCATATTAGCGGTGAAATGTCGTCCGATTATGTCAAACGTCATACGCTCACTGGATGTCATGACAACAAATGTCATGAAGGAAAAGTTTAAATATCTCGTCTTCGCTTTCATCTCCAAAAAGACATTACAAAACTAAACATATGATTTACAACATGCGTTTATCAAAGTAGGAAATTGGTGTTCTTGAAATACGAAATGGAGGTGGGTCCGGACTGAATTCCCTCCGGGTCCGGATCCGGACCGGAGTTTCAGAAGCACTGATATAGAGGGACAACAAAAGTCTATTCCTCTGGAAAATATTGTGTTTATACAGAAATTGTCTCAACACTGAAAGTGTGACAAATATCCACAGTCTATTCTAAATTCATGATCAAATTAAACAGTCATACTGTTTAGAATTCCATTAAAATTTGGTATATGGTGCATATATAAATTAACTCACTGTTGTTGCAGATGAAATGTTGGTTATAATTACATGGCAAATCATGCCATTCTCCATTTAACATCATAGCACAATAATCTCTGCCTTCCGGTTCTCCAGTAGCCCAGTTCAGATAGAGCGCAGGTTCACCTGAAGACCAGTACCATTCATCACGACCCGTCTTCTGCAGCCCAATCCAGACATACTGAACACTTCCATCATTCACACTCTTGTTCAGCTCGTTCATGTCGTTCATGTCGTCAACGGTGGCCAGATCTGTGTATTTCTCTCTGCAGTATCTCTGAGCTTCAGTCCAGGCCTTGTTCTCATTTATAAAGTGATACTGATGCAGAAAACATTCAGATACAGAGCAGAGAGCTGTTAAAGAGAGGCTTTGATTTAATGCGTTTCAGAACAGGATCAAACCTAATGAAACTAGAAACCAGAAATAAAACCACAAACACACTCACCAATGAGAAGAATGAAAAATAGAGTTTGGTCCATTTCGGAGGAAGAAAAATATAAACTCAAATATTCACAGATTCATTTTGGTGTAAAACATGATTTCAGTGATAATTAAAAATCCATCTTAACGGGAACATAAATGCACTGTACACACTGATTAAGACAATATTAACACGTCAAAGTCTAACTCTAGTTAAAGATTGAACATGTGAGTTGGTCTTACTGTAGAGGTCTTGTGTTTCTGTCCCGAGTCTGATGTTTCTGTCTGCAGCTTCAAACTGTGTGATTATTATATCTGCTCTCATCCCTCATTCAGCATCACATCATTTGTTTATTACTGTAAACAAAAGCCCTTTTCATTTTTCTTCCTCATTCATGTGTTTTTCTGATATTTTTCTCTGTTGTTGATCTTTCTTGCTGTAATTCTCTGGAAGTGTGTTAATTTGAATGTGGTAGAGACTGAGAGTCTGTATGTATTGAATTTCCATAGCAGCCTCTCAGGAAAAATCCACCTCAACATTTGCATTTTCTTCTCTTTTTGTTTGTTTTCCATGTTCTTGCACCTTCGATACTGTCAGTGACCAACAGCATGTTTCTGTGTGATAAATTAAAATGTTAATTAAGACCTGTCACAATAGAATGCATGAAGGAACATGATTAAAAAGAGTTCATAAAATGATTTTTAAAAAAGCTTAAAATTGTTTGTTCAAATAATGTAAATGTAAAGTTTGTTTCCATGGTTTGTTGTGCATTTGTGATCTATTAGTCGAGTTAAAGGCATGTTGGTGATTGATTAGTTTTGCCTGTTGATATACTAGGGGGTGACAACGAGTCATCTGCATAAAGTTTCAGTAGAGGGAAAACCGCTGGTCTCATTATAATATTGTCCCCCTTTTCAGGGTATTACTGCATCTTAAACTAAACTGAACATATTCTGTGTTATCATTAGCACAGTACCCAGCTCACAAATTTATGTTTTGAGAACATTTTTCAAACGTTCCGTTTTGAATGTGGGTACGTGATTTTAAATGTTCAAAAAAACATGAAATTGGCCAGTTTGCTTAACGTTGGTAAAACATTATTTTATGGTTAGCACAGAGTTCCTACAATGTTCTTGCCACCTACGTTTTATTAAAAATACAAATGTTCTAAGAATGTTTATTTGGAACATTACAAAGTTTAGTTTAATAAAATTGTATTTTAAGATTAGCATAGTGTTGCTAACTTGATTTTTATCAACACAACATTCCAGGAACAAGCAAGTGCATGTGCATTTCAACAGGTATTTGAATTATAAAAGCTGCACACTTTCAAAAAACCCATTGTTACGGGGCTGACGAGACGTGAGACGTGCGGATCCAAGTGCAAAGCTTTATTATCAGACATGGTTAGAGACAGGCAGGGGTCAGATAGTGGCAACAGGTATATAGATGGCAAGACAAAGAATATATCCTAGGGCTAGCGTGGGTCTATGATCGGCGAACAGGATCAACAGGGCGAGACTAGAGGGATAAGTCCAGATACAAGGCAAGGTCCAGGCAGGGGCAAACAGTATCAGAATAGAGCAAGACGAGAGGGGGAATCCGAGATACACTGGCGAAGATCAGTACACGAGGAAACAGACAAGGCAAGACTAAGCTAAGGCTCCGCCACAGCGGAGCAGAAGACCACCAGAGGCAGACAGTAGACCACCATGGCGGAGCAGAGGACCACCACGGCAGAGCAGACGGAGCCGGGACCCATGGCTGAGACTGGGGCCTAGAGAAAACACAGGCAGTGCATTCCTGGTTTCAGGGACCAAGGCAGGGAATACAAGAAGCTCATCAAAGTTCTCTAGGGCAGTGACAGAGTTAACGGGACAGACACGGAATGCATTGTTATTCTCTGGGCTCATGACAGGCAGGTTTAAGGGTTCAAAGAAGGGGTTTTGGGCTGTCAAGTCAAGTCAAGTCACCTTTATTTATATAGCGCTTTTAACAATACAGATTGTGTCATGACTTGACTTATGACGAACAGCCGTGACTTGACTTGCCTCATGAAGATCAACTGTGACCGGACTTGCCTCATGAAGATCTGCTGTGAGTTGACTTGACTCAGGGGAATCAACTGTGACTTGACTTGATTCATGATGATCAATTATGACCTGACTTGACTCATGACGATCAACTGTGACTTGACTTAACTCGGGAAGATCAATTGTGACTTGACTTGATTCATGAAGATCTGTTGTGACTTGACCTGACTCATGAAGATCTGTTGTGATGAAGATCTGTTGTGACTTGACCTGACTCATGAAGATCTGTTGTGACTTGACTTGACTCGTGACGGTCTACTGTGACTTGACTCATGAAGATCAGCTGTGGTTAGACTTGATTCATGACGATCAATTGTGACTTGACTTGACTCAGGAAGATCAATTGTGATTTGACTTGGTTCATGAAGATCAGCTGTGACTCGACTTGCCTCATGACGATCAACTGTGACTTGACTCAGGATTGACAGCGGTGACATACCGGGGCGCTGTTGTGTCCACCATTTTGCGATCAGGCTCCGCTGTCGTGCTCTAGTGCGGCCGCCATTACACGAGTGAGTGCGGGGTCGCGTTCCTCCGCGATACCCACAGTGAACCCGAACCAACCGTCAACAAAGCATAATCCATACACTGACTGAAAGATTAACGCGGACCCTCGTGAATGAGTTTGGACTTTAGTGGTTGATTAATGCCCTCACAGAAAAAGTCTATCAAAACGCAGTCCGGCAGATCTGAATAATGAGTGATGGCTAAATATTCTTGAATATAGCCCTCCAGCGATCGTGTGCCCTGTCTAAGGGCTAACAATTTTCTTGCTGTATCCATACCCGTCCAATGTCCATCCGAGAAGCCGCTGGATCCTTGTGTGGCCGAGTATTCTGTTACGGGGCTGACGAGACATGAGACGTGCGGATCTAAATGCAAGGCTTTATTCATAGACATGGTTAGAGACAGGCAAGGGTCAGATAATGGCAACGGGTATATAGAGGGCAAGACACAAGAATATTCCTAGGGCTAGCGTGGGTCTACGATCGGCGAACAGAATTAACAGGGCGAGACTAGAGGGGTAAATCCAAGTACAATGCAAAGGTCCAGGCAGGGGCAAACAGTATCTGAATAGGGCAAGATGAGAGGGGGAATCCGAGGTACACAGGCAAAGATCAGGATACGAGAAAACAGACAAGGCTAGACTAAGGTAAGGCTATGAAAACTAATGGGCTCCGTAGAATAGCTATCGCTAGGTGAGTGATATACGCTATACAATACTCGGCAGCTTGACAGAGATCAGAGTGAGTGTATATATAGGGAAGGTGTGATTGATGACAGCTGTGTGCAATCAGTGCTGTGTGCAATCAACTGTGTGTGTGTAATCAGTGCAATGGATGATGGGAACTGTAGTCCGGGTGAAGTGCAACAGTGGTGTGGTGCAAGAGTCCATAGTAGTGGAAGGGTGACCTCTGGTGGCAAGCAGATGGAAGTTCATGGACCGGATTCGTGACACCCATTAACAGATTGAACCGATGAAACAGGTGAAAATAGCATAAAATGTGAAGAAAAAAAGAGTTGAATATTTAGATTAATATTTATGCTACTTTCATTGTATGACAAAATAGCATCATTAGGGTTATGAAAAATATAAAATATAAATATTCAAATAATACGTTTTCATCACAATTTCTACAGACAAATTATTAACCTAATTTATTAATCTTGATGGGTATACACATGCGCACAACTGGAAATATGTCATAATATTGTAGTTAAGTCAACCACAACTTCCATTTTATGCCAACATGAAACAGGAAAAATCCATCCAAATATAGTTAACGTAGAAGTTATCAACAAAGTTATAAACAAATGTTGCCATGTTACATGTTATTTGCTGATAAACTGTCACATGACCTCAGTCAGGGAAGCAAACTCGGAGATAAAACAGGTTAGAAAGTCATGGCAGGTGTTTCTGGGTTTAACTGACAGTAAGAATTTTCACAGTTTAACACATCAGTTAAATTGTAAAAAAAATAATTTGTAACGTTTTTCTTTTTTTTTAAATATTTGCTGCATAGATAAAATAAATAAAATAAAAACAAAACAAGTCGCACGTAAGTTGTTAGTTAATACTTTACATTTTACTGGTACTGAGAACAGAACAAGGTAACATTAGTTTACTTAATAGTTTAACTAATGTTAATGTTAACTATTTATTATGTAAGCAAGGCTTTATAGTTCACTCATGTTCCAGTACTATTGTAAAACATCATCTTTCACATGCACAAAAAATGTGTTTTGCAGCGCAATGAGCCGGTGCTCACACTAACTGACACAGATTGCACAACTGACCGTTAAAGTTGAACAGTGTAACTTTTTCAATGTGTTTGTTTGACTGTGTTTTATTTTGATGATGAACAGGCTGCGATGTCAAGTTATCAATGCTGTAACTGATGTTATGAGCTTGCGTGAGAATTTTTTTTTTACTTACATCATAATTTTGGGTGTGACTGTCCCTTTACTCATGATGGGGTGCGTACTTTGAGAGAGAGGTCTGTAAGGGACTGTTTTTTTTAGTCCCGCGAGGTTATATTCCACACCCACCCGCTCCCGCGATATATTCACTCTTTGTTCACCCGCTGTCTGCTTACAATAATTTTCTTCCCGACCCGAGCGTTCCCGCTAAATTTAGATCTCGTTTCCAGAATCTCACATTTAAATTTCCGCTACTGAAAGAAAGATAGGCTAACAAATAAAAGTATAGTCTGAGCAAAATTGTATTTGTTATATAATTCGTCTTGTCAAGACACAAAATTCGTTTAACATTTTGCTGTCAACACAGTAGGAAAAAAGTGTCGCAGAGAAAATTAAAATGTAGGTTGCACAAAAATTGTATTTCTTATTTTGTCAAGATACAATTTTGCTGTCAACGCAAGAAGCAGAAAGCACTGGTCCATGCATGCATAACAGTCCTGAGTGCAGGCTGTACCGGTGCTCGATAACAACGAGTAAAGCGCAG